TTGCCTATTCCTGCTGAGTTCAACTTCTGATTATTGTGTGTCTCATACTTGAGAGTTAGAAGTACTCTCTGACCATGTCATTCAATTGACCGACTCATTTTTGCGTTCTTGCTATCTTTATTGCTCTAGAGAAAAAAAAATGCTTATGATCAGCTTCTTCAGTAGGAAAAGAGGGAGCTGATTGCTCATGTTACACGTTTTGCCTTAGCTAATTGATACATTTATTTTAGTAATTAACTTCACTCTTTTGCTTTCAGGAGCACCCAGATTTGACAAAAGCTGAAAGGAAGAAGCTATGTGCATTGATGGATGTCCGGAAATTGACAGCAGACGCTTCTATGCATGCTGCGCAGAATGAACGCCTTCCTCTTAGAGTAGTAGTGCAGGTTCTCTTTTTTGATCAGGTCAGGTCTTCTATCAGCTTTCAAACACTCGGTACCAATAGTGGGCGTGATCCTACACAGTCTCCGATGAACGGAGATGGAAGATGTGAGAAAACGGCTGGAGATAGGTGCCAACCCCTCAAGAACCAGATGAGTCATTTGAGGATCAAGGAGGAGGAGTTACATGAAAATGGGAAGTTGAGTAAGAAGAATAGCAAAAGTGGCATTCAGTTGCTGCCATCGCGGTCTAGGAGAATCTTTGACAAGTTATGGAGTGGGGGAAAAGGGCTAGGAGAGAATAGGAGCTCAGAGACTTCAGGGAGTTCTAGTAGCCCAACTTCATTAGGCCATGGAGATACCAAATCATATAGCCTATCTTTGAGACACCAGAGGCATTCTGTCTCTTAGGGAGTTGGTAGATTATTTAGAGCATGCAAATTGCTGTATAAGTGTAAAGTGGTGAGAAGTCAAGTTACTGTTATATTGCAGTGCATGCACAGAATGAGGAAAAGGGTTGGTTAGCATTGCATTAAAATGTAATGTAGTTTATCTTTCTCTTGTAAGACCTTCCATCATACAGAATGGTCAGTGGGTTAGGGATATGTAGGTCCTGTTTGGTATTCCTAATATGTTGCCTTCTGTATCGGACCTAACTGCAGCAATGATTCATGTCTTTTTCTGCGCATTCTTTTAATAATAAAAGAAAATAGAAACTATCAATGTGAACAAACTGGGATCATAATCTAGGCTCCTGTGTTAGAACCAAAACATTTTTGTATAAACCTTCTTTGCGGGGCCAGGATGCCTTTGTAAGTATTACGTCAACAAAAATTAGATTTTTTACAAAAGAATTAGATTTTCAACAAAAAACTGAGAGAAGGGACAATTGCTAGACTTAATTTGTTCAATTGAAATTCAAAAAATTAAAAATTGCACAACTATTATAGGGATTAAAACTTAAAAGTGCCAAGTCTTAGACATATTGTAAAGTTTAATTTTAGTTTTTGTTAAAAAAAAAGTTTGTAAAATATGGACGTGATAAATTAATTTTTACATGCCAGTGTTTTAATAAATTTGTAATAGTGACAGAAAAGTAGTAGTAACGCTGAACATCAATTTGGAATAAAGCCAAATGTAAAGAATCTTATCTGCATTGGATCCGTCATCCGAGTATAACGGATCTTCAAGAGGCAAAAGGCAATGATTACTTAGCAATTAACCGCACGCATATTCCAAAAAGATCCAGCTGGTCCAAGTTTCACTTTGACTCCATTAAAAGTCAACTGGGGTAGTATCTGTATTGCACCAAACAACTTTAACAAACCCAATTACTATAGAATCATGAGACACACTCCGAGGATTGGTGTCCACTGTTTCTTTGTGTGTTTCAATATATTGGTGTTGTTGAGCGGTGTTTGTGAATCAACATCATCCTCTCTCCACTGTAAAGCATGGTTAGTGCAATCGATTCCCACCAATATGCCCCACCTATCCCATGTTCCCGGCGTCCTCTCTACTGGTATGTAAAACTAGTACTTACAATTATTAAATGTAGTAGTAGAAATTTATATGCTATCAGTGATCGAGAAATTATTACATGGTCCGAGACTACTGTGATCTCAATTAATTTCCATATGACACTTCCTCAAGTTCTATTCATTCTTTCTTGTAAATTGTAAAGATTAGTCAGAACTATAGATACGTGGTGGTCCAGAATTATCTAATAATTTGTTATGGACATGGTATTGTTACCTCTCTATGACTCATAATTGGGTTGTTGTAGGGGATGTGCTTCGGTGGCTGGCTGCAAACTCCACCACGAGGCTTCACATAATTGCTCAGTACTGGCAGCTGCAACCTTCTCCCAACGATCCTCGCTCTGGGGACTATGGTTACTCTCAACATCAGATGCATGAATTTGGTGCCCATCAAGGTGTTGCCCTTTATCAAGCATTAGATGCTGCTGCTGAACGTAATGTTAGCATCAGGTGCGTTTTAATTTGGCTTACCATGCCTATGTTTAAGGGTTTTAGACTTAGACTTGAAAAGTGAATACTCAACCGGTTTGACAATCATCAATTCATCATATCATAAATCAATTAACTTTAAAATGGGGTTTGTTGATGATGGATGGATTCTTTTGTTTATAAATTAAGCTCTACATAGACAAGGTAATCTCAACCTTAATGTTGTATGTTTCAAATGGATATTGAGGTAGGTTACTGTCCCACTCTGGAGTGTATCCAACGTTTACCTTAGAACCATCCAAACTTGCTTCCGGAAGGCCTAATGTTGAGAATGTGACATTGCTGCTAGAGGATTGGTGGGGCTCGGGCATTGTCCATGCCAAAGTTTGGATATCTGACAGTAGGGATGTGTATCTTGGATCTGCAAACAATGACTGGAAATCTCTTACGCAGGTAACTTTGTTACTGTTACATGTTCTATGTTTAATTTGTTTTATTGTGTTTACATAATTACATTTTTTATGTGAATAGACAACTAATATTTTAGTGGCATCCTCAAATCTAGATTGTGTAGCATTAACCATTTATTGAAAGCGTATTTTGTTGCTTGTTACCTCTTTCCACAGATTATTGATGTTACCTTTCTGTTGGTTGTTATCATTTACAAATATTTTTAAGATAGCTCTTATTTTCTTCATTGTAGATCATCTGTTATCTGTTCAACCCATGATACTTGTCTCATTACTTATTACCTTCTGGCTCTAGGTCAAGGAACTTGGAATTTATTTTGCTGATTGTCCTGGAATAGCTAAAAAGGTTGAGGTCTACTTTGACAATTTATGGACGCTTGCATCTCTTAATTCCTCAGCTTACACAAAAAAAGTGTTTGATCAAGAGTGGCAAGTTGAGAGAAAGGTTCCTTGCTGGTCGCATTTCGTTGATCGTAGAGAGAGGTGCAAGTAAGTATAGCCTGATGATAAAAATAAGTTTACATAGAGTTTGTCTTCAATAAATTGCTACTTGTGTGGTTTTCTATCTAGATTTCATTTGTTATTGTTGTATCTTCGAAATCCCTCACAAAGTTCTTAAGGTTTAAATTCTACTATATTTCCTTCCTTCTCTGTAATTGTTGTCCTGAGAAGGCAGAATGGTTCACACGAGGCAGTGTTAGTCCTAAAGGTTCACTTTTTAATTTATTACTCTATCTAATTATTTGTCACAGGTCACCTCTTCCTCAATATCTGAAGACTCCTCATGTTGCAGGATATCCTATTCTGTCTGACCCATATATGTTTGAGGTTTCATTTCAAACTCCTGGGAGTAACCTTTCAACAAAGCTCCCCCAAGTCAGCTATCTATCTTTTGCACCCTCAGAGGTAACGTTTACTGTAACGCATCCATAAACCTAGACATCAGACATAGGTTGACTACTTGACTTACAGTTACATGGAAGCACAATCATACAATTTGAATAATTTTCTAACCGTGCTACTATCACTTGCTTGTTTACAATGAGTGCAAAATCGGTCTTAAATAGCAGAAAGTTTAGGTGTTCTAGTCTCAATTAGCCATCGAATAAAATTTGTCAATGCATCTCATGGGATTGAGGGTTGGTGTAATATAGGATATTTTAGCTAGGAATGACCAACTTTGGGTTTAAATCTGCAAATAAATTGCCTAGCATAATCTTAAATTAGTAGACAAAACTCTAGGTTGTATGGTCCTTCATTTTTCCATAACATCTCATGTAATGCATGTGAAATAGACTAGTCATATGATGTCCAGTGGGTTAGTCATGGAAATTTTGTTCCACCCTTAAAGTTGGCTTGGTCAAGATCTAACATATTTCTGGAGAGGTGAGTCACTTTTTCTAGAGAAGTGAAAAACAAATCACCTAAGCATGTTGGTTTTGAAGTAATTATTAGTGCTTATACCCCCAAAAACTGATGGTTGAAACTTGAAGCATATGTGGCCGTCCTTCTGATATAGGAGTGAGTAGTTTATATTGCTGGCTTGTTTTCTGCATGCATGTGTGAGACTCTACATTGTAAGTACTGGCGTACTCTTGGAAATTCATTCATGTCCCTACTGCATTAGCGAATTTTTTTTGCTAATATCAATTATTTTTCAAAGAAAGGAAATCCCTGTTGTAAGATTGTACTCTAATATTGGACATGTTAAATTTCCAATCTTCATTGGGTCATCTTAGTATTATTGGTGTCTGCAGCTATTATTTGGCAAATATCAGGCTGATGAGCAGGCATGGATTGAAACAATTAAGTCAGTTGGAAAAAAGGGGACAGTTAGAATCAGCACCATGGACTGGCTAGGTCAGTCAGAATTTATGGACCAAACAATTTACTGGTCATCCCTATCCTCTGCAATATCACAGGTGACTTCAAGTGTTCTGGCTTTCTGTATTTTCTTCACTTGTATGTTCTTTTTGTTTTTTCCTCCTCCCTGAATTTTTTACCTTTTTGCAAACCATCCTAAATATATTAGAAGATAAAGCATCATTATTCATGAAATTCTTACATTGTTGTTGGGTACCATTTTGAGTGACCAGTGATATAAAATTTGTTAGGATAAACTTCTTTAGAAGCATTTTTAAGAGAAAATAATAAGAAGAAAAATTTAAATAAGTTTTTCTCTAAATTAAAACTAGTTTTTATATAATTAAAACTACGAGTTTAGAAAAGTTAATAAGAGAAAGCTTCTACAAATTAACTTATGTATAAGTTAAAACTGTTTTTGAAAAAATTTATCCAAACAAGCTCCTACTTTAATTCTCACTAGTTGCCACTGCCACCTTACACATCTCAAGTAATTAGACCTTTCAAATTTCATTTCTCTCAAAATTAGTGTTACATTTTTTAACAAGGTTAAACCAAACAGGTGGTGTTTTCTAAGAATGCAACAGTGCAGATACTTGTGGCATATTGGGCACACTTCATCAATAACACAGATGTGTACCTGAAGTCCCTCCTCTACACCAACAATCTCTGCTCTTCCTCAAAATACAACACATGCTCTGGGAAAGTTGAGATAAAATACTATGTGGTTCCAGGTTTCAACATGACAGGACCTGCCATCAAGGGTGGAACTAGAACAGGAAATATATACCCTGGATTTACAAGAGTCAATCATGGAAAATATGCAGTTAGTGATCTAAGGGCACACATTGGGACTAGCAATCTTGTATGGGACTACTTCTATACAACAGCTGGTGTCAGCTTTGGGACATATAACACTGCCATTGTCTCTCAACTTAGGGAAATTTTTAATGCTGATTGGAACTCACCCTATGCTGTTCCATTTGAAGAGCTGGAGAAAACAAGAAGTTCAATCTAACATTATTTTATGATATGTATCCTCCAAAACATGAATAAAGCCAATGCACGTTGCAAAGAAAAAGAAAAGAAAATTAGTTACCCGTTGTTCAGAAAAATTGTGGTATATTTATTTTGATGGATCAGCCACAGAAAGATGTAAGAAAACCAAATTAACAATGAAGCAATGCCAACGACCATGAGATAAACACTTGTTTAGTGGCATTTGTTTTAATGAATATTTTTAAAATTTTCAGAAATGGCAATATCAGAATATTATGATTAGGAATGGGGTATAGATAAAAATATGTTTGATTCAATTTTTAAAATTTGAATGACAAGAAAAATAAAGTGAACGAAAAAAATGAAAAACTAACAATTGGGTTAAAAAGTATTTTTTTCTTATTCTCATGTGAAAGCAATCTATTCACCTTTTTTATGGGAATAAAAATAAAATAAAACATACTATAACTTATTTTAAAAATCAATAATTTCTAAGAATATTGTAATACCATTATAAAGTTTCAAGTTCGAAGGTTCGGGACAACAACATAATATAACAATTTCTAAGAATATTTTTTAAAACTTGTACCAAATTATATTTTCAAGTTGACTTCCTGCTAAATAAATTTTATGAACCTTGAAATATATACATTCTATGATGTTATTAAACTAGAAAGTATCCCTATATATTGAACTTCTACAAAATAAAAAATAGCTACTCTACAACATAAAAAAACATATTGAACCTTTTTTTTAATTTAACTAAATTTTAAATTAAAATAAAATATTAAAAATGTAAGATAAATATAAACACTAATTTAAATAAATGAATACATAATATAATTAATTAGATTTTAGAAAGAAATATTTAAAAAACAAAAAAATATATAAATACCTGGTATTTGAAACGAAGAAAAATTAAACGTAAGAGTAGAGAAATTGATCTTTTCAAATTAATAATAATAATAATAGATAGATAGATAGTTCTTTAAAATTTTAAAATGAAGTATTAAATAATTGTAAAGTCGTGAAGAAAGCGAGTATAAAATAATATCGTTACACTAAAGAATAAAATTAAACTTTATAATAAAACACTTTTAGAAGGGTGAATAATCTTGATGTCGCGACGATTTGTATTTGTAATTGAGCAAACGAAGCACATCTAATTCAATTGAGAAATGGTTCAACGCTCTGGGCTCAGGACATCATGCAATACTCCTAAGTGGCTTGCATCCAAGAAAACATCCACGAATTAAAGTGATATCTACACTGAATTCACAAAGTAAGCAAAATGAACAAGAGACATGTTAATAGTGCTGTCTAACAAAGTTGAGTTTCAAATTTAAGATTTATGCCCATGCTAAAGAGCTCCTGGCATAATAATTTTGCTCCATACGGGACATTGGCCACCACAATTTCGTCCGCAGAATCACAGTGGCGGCAATGAGGTCCTCGTATTTTCCGGCCACCGGAGACTGGCCGCAAGATCACATTTGCAACATTTTTGCATTTGCTGCATATGTGAATCTGAGAGGAGTCACTGAGTGTGAAGAGGCGTTCATACAGGTTGGCTGATGCACCATGAGCAATAAGGCAATCACGCTCCATTTCACCGAACTTGATACCTCCAAATCGTTTTCTGTCAGCTACAGGCTGTCGGGTCAGCGGGTGAACCGGTCCAGTGTTGCGGAATTTCACTTTGTCTTCAGACATGTGGTGTAGACGTTGGTAAAACGTCGGTCCCATAAAAATGAGTGATCGGACCATCTCACCAGTCCTCCCATTGTATACCCTCTCATTTCCCCATCTTGAAAATCCAGCACTGCCATATTCTCAAAAGTAACTCGGGTGAGGGCTCGGTAAAACAACAAGAACAAAATACATGTTAACTTAAAAGTGAAATTAGGCAAAATAATTCCTAATTTTAATGCGAGAATATAGCAAAGACAAGACCATCTACAACTTTGAAGACACTACACAGCAAATAAAAAACATCAGTCATACTAGCAAGGGCAGGAGCTGAAATGAAAGTTCCTCTTCTAAAGAATGGCTCACAAAATATACAACAGACTGTACCTGTGAAGTTGGTCGGTAATGGCATCAACAGAAGGAGTGGAGAAAGGCGTAGCATATCTCAGTTTACCACCACAAGCAATCCCCTTTCCTAAAGCAGCCTCTAGGAGTTGCCCAGGAGTTTGTCGTGAAGGAAATGCATGCGGATTTATGACAATATCAGGAACAATGCCTTGTCTTGTGAAAGGAAAATTTTCCTGACACTCCAGAAATCCCAAAACTCCCTTTTGTCCATGCATACTGGAGAACTTGTCTCCAAGAACTGGACTTCGAACCTGCAACATTATTAAATAATAGATTTATCCAGTGATCAAATTACAGTTTGCTTTCAGTTGTGTAACATAAAACGTCCATGTTCAACGATGCACAAATTAGTATAGTTTAGCATGCCCATCTCAATGATGTACTTGAGCATACAGTAAGTAGTGTCCATTGCAGTAAATTCCTAAAAGTTCATTCACAAGCAATCTTCATTAATGTAGTTTGGCAATTCACCAGTTACCTGTCTTAACGAAACCACAGCAAAATTTTTCCCTTCATCATTTGAAGACAGCACAACCTTTTGCACATAACCCCTCTCAGTGTGTTTTAACTTCACACTATTGTCGGCACCAGACTCAGCACACCGCCCAATAATAATATCACCACTTTGTAAGTTTGCTCCAACATATGGAAAGCCATCATCATCAAGGCTGTCAACTCGACCAATCTTACTTTGTAATTTTCCAAAATTTACAATGTCTTCAGGTTTTCGCTTTTTCTCCGAAGAGTCCTTATTTTCAATTTCAGATTTGTAACTCCTTACATGCTCAGATCTGAACATACCACGCTGCAACGAAGCACGGTTCATCACCAGGGAATCCTCTTGATTGTATCCCAGATGTACATTGACAGCCACTATTGCATTCTGCCCATTATAGAATTCTGCCTTTGGAAGTAGTTCCTTTTGACACAGTTCTGCTTTTCCAAGAGAATCTGATGTCATTGTTCGAAAAAGTGGCCTTTGGGGGTAGTGTAACTGGTGAGACAAAGTATCAACTCTAATTAGCGGGTTTACTGTAGAAAAGCCAATAGCCTGTGAGGAGTGCTTCTGAGACTGGTAGAGTACCCTCCTTGCATGGTCATGATTAGCAAACGGTACAAGTGAACAGCTTAAACCCAATAAGAATGACATATCAAGTTCACAGTGTGTGTACTCAGCAGTACGTTTTCCCTCTTTTCCAAATAAATACTGAACACCCCAGGCAGTAGTGCAGTCTTCCTCTTCTTCGGGTCCAATCAGCTCAATCACACCCCTATCCAATAGAGATTGAAAAGAATAACGTTCTGATTTAAAATCTTTAATCTTGAGTAGATTACCAACTACCAAAAGAGGACGTAGAATCCTTCCTGCATCAGAGTATATGCGCACTTCATGTTGAGATTGATCTCTCTTGATCTCCACCTACAATGGAAAATAGTTATCTTTAGGTTCTAAAGAAACAGGGTCAACTAACTCGAAGTGATATATTGAAAATACTACAGCCTTTTTAAAAGAAAGAGAATAGGTGCTCAACAAAAAATATGATCCTTAACGAAGTCAATGAAAAGACCAGCAGAAGAAGACAATCTCATCATAGCAATAACAAAGTGCCCCAAACCTGATAGCTGATACAGTGGCTGACTATTGGTGCATATACAACGCGATACATAACTGAACCCAATGGACATAACAATGTTTGATACAGGAAAGGGTCACAAAAACAACAAATTGATTCAGAGGCAGGTGTCTGGAAACAAAACCATCATTCACAGAGAAAAAGGAACTCCAAACAGTTAATTCAATCATATGAAGCAGGTAAAGCATTTATCATATGTTAGCCATTGGCAATCAGTCTTCACAAAGACCTAAACAAGATATAAAATTATTAGCTAATATAGACTCAAGTTTCCAAATGCTTAAACAGTAACAATAAAATAATTTGTTAATATATCATCTTCCATGCAAAGGGTCACAAATGAAAAATTGATTCAGAGGTAGGGCGTCTGAAAACAATAGCATTATTCACAGAGAAAAGCAAGTCCAGATAGCTAATTCAATCATGTGAAGCAGGTAAAGTATTTACCATAGATTAGTGAATGGCAATCGCAGTCCTCACGAAGCATAAACTAAACAATAGAATTAATAGTTAATATGGACTTAATTTTCTAAATGCTGAAACAGAAACTATATTATTTGTTAATATATCATTTGTCCTGCAGATTGACATGCCTTAAGCTGTTGAACTTGTTGGCTATACTAGATTTGACAATTTATGGCTCAATAAAACATACAACAATAACAAAAACCGTTTCCCACAAGGTGAGATCTACTAAATGGTTCAAATTAAAAGAATGTTGTAAAAGATATATAAAATGACCAGTTGAGCATACAAAAGTACTTAAAACAAAAGATTAAAAGTGAACCTGATGAGGCATTTCATTTCTCCGTCTTCTACTTCGTAGCTCTGCCACAAACGAACTGGAATCAGCACACACTCCAACCCAATCACCATTTAGGAAGATTTTGTCCTTGTTACCCAGACGAGTGGAAGTATCATCTACAAGTTCTTCCATTCCACATTCCAACAATTTAGGCAGTATAGATTCAGATGTGTCCAATACATTAGTACTTACTAGCCCTGTGACAGCCAAATTTTTTACTAGTCCGCAATTTTCACCATCTGGGGTAGAGAGGAAACATACCTTTCCCCAGTGAGACGGGTGCCTGCAACAGTAAACTTCTGTTATAATAAATGAAAGCAAAAAGAAAAATAAAAATTTGAGCCATAATGAACTAAACAATTTTAATTGTCATGCACTTCACTCACTGTCCCTGCACAACTGTAGAAAGAAAATAACAACAATAACAATAATAATAAGCTAAAACAAACAAAGTGTCTTACGGGTATCTAGCATCCCCTACTTTTCCCGTGTACTGGACTTGCTGCCGTGTTCTTCTCAACTCGGCCATGGTTTGTAAGGGATTAGTACGCCCAACATTTGCAACCACACCTGAGATCCTTTCCATCCTCTTGTATGGATGTGACCATGCTCCAGTCGAAAATGCCCTTTGCAAACCATTTGTAATTATTGATGCGTCGAGATAATGCTCAATTGGGCGTACTTCCCTATCTCCGTAAAGGTCTCTCTGCAAAGCCTTTGCCATTCGCTTCCTTGCATGTGCAATGTGCACCTTCAACTCACGGTCAAGCAGCTCATTGGCCAATTCAAGCCTCTTATTTCGGAAGTCATCCCTATTATCACATTTTCTGCGGCCAGTATAAGCCAGCAAGAGACCCTTAACCATATATGCAAGGAAGCGCGCCTTTCTATTTAATCCTTTAATTCCCGGAAAGACATACATTTCAAGGCACTCCTGAATAGATTCAGAAGGTGGAAATTGGACACCTTTTACTTTACTTTCTAAATATTGAACTGCAAACTTACCTCTCCGATATGATCCACATTTTTCATCAGCATCACGAACAGATGCAAAGAGAATATTCTGAATTCTAGCATCATCACTTCCACATCCAATGAGATCTACAACCTCTCTGTCAGAAGAGACACCAAGAGCAAAAAATAGTATCCACACAGGAATCTCAACAGACAAAAAATACACAGTCAGAGACATGTCCCCATTGTCCGTTTCTTCACTGCCACCAGAATTCCCTACCAGTTTAACAACCATCCTATTTCTCTTCATCTGTGACTTGTAGGCAATAACCCAGCCTGGACTATTTAAAACCCATAGCCTCTTCAAATACAGTTGCTCCTGTGCAATAAAAGTCTGCAACAATTTTCCAAACAAAACAAATTCATATCATGAACATACAACAAACATTGAAGACCAACAAAAATAACAAAAGGACAAAACTTGGACGCAGTTCCATAGGCTCTTCTGGTACTATTATCCGATCAGAATTGAAAATTTACCTCAATAATCGGTTTTTACCTTCGACAAAAACTTTTGTTACTCATATTACCAAGGTGAAACTCCAATTCTGATCAAACAACATCCAAACACTAAAAACACCTAAAGAACTACTACATCCACACAAGAACACAAATCCAACCTAAAAAATCGTTAATAATGAAATACAAACAGGTGAAACACACAAACCTTCTCTGCACCCTTAATGAGAAAATACCCGCCATGGTCAAATTCACAGTCATACTTTTCCGCCCCATTCATCCAGCATAAATCAGACTTGACCATGACAGGCAATCTCCCAATGATAATCTCCCTGTCATCTTCCTTCAGAATCTCTCTATCCAGGAACTCCTCCTTCCCAGTCTTAAACTTATCACTTCGAACCTTCTTCGGAACATAGACCTATAAATAAATCCACACACACACACACACACAATCCACAGAATCAGAAATTACTCCAGCATAGCAACAAACCTACATTACACACACTTCAATCTGTCATACCTGAACGTTAACTTCGATTTTGATTTTGGAAGCGTAGGTCATCCTCTGAAGCCTGGCGTGGCGGGGAAGCATCTTAAACTCCTGCGCGTTCCCTTCGCCGCCCCAGAACATGGGCTTTTCGAGCTTGACCTTGCCGAACTTGACGGAGGCGTAACGGTAGTGCTCGTTGTCGCCCTTCTTGGAAGGATCGAAGCCGGGCGTGATGACAAGGTCGCCGAAGGAATCGAAGGTTTGCTGAAGGCCAATGGCGACGAAGTGGTTGTAGGAGTTGATCTGGTGGCTGATCAGACCGTACTCGTTGAAGAACAGCATCGAGGCCTTCTTGCAGAGCTCGCGGACCTTCCATTCGCCGATTTCTTCGAGGATTTCGGCGTTGCTCGGACCGAGGTCGCCGAGGTCGTCGTCGTCGCCGCCGAAGATGTCCATCGACGCGCCGGCCTTGGTGCCGTCCTTGCTGGAACCTACGTGGCCCATTCCGATCAACGAATGCGTTTGCGAAAGCTAGGGTTTAGGTTAGGGTTATTTCTTCGCTCTACTCTACGAGTGTAAGAGAGTGTGAGTGAGTGAGTGAGTGAATGAGTGTGATTGTGAAGAGAACTTGTTTCATCTTCCAGGAAATGAATGAAACGGTTCTTGCGTGACAGGGAGGGGTATATACGGGAAAAGCACCACGTGTTGACTTTTGACCTTGTCTCTAGTGAAGTGAAATTGTTTGTGGTTCCTGAAAAGGAAAGTGGAAAGACGCATGTGCCCTCGGACCAGAACTGTTGGACTCCTACCTTCGTAGACTTTTTTTATAATATTTATTTATTTATTATGATCTTTTATACTCCTACTTTCATTTATAATTTTAAACAAACCAATTAAGGGTGTTGGTGAAAAAAATATAATTAATTAAGGATGTGTTCTTATTTTTAACCACGTTATTGGGAGTGAAGAATTTACATAGATGACTAGTTTTGGTTTAAAAATGATTAACATTAGAGTATGTTTTGAAAAAAAGTGAAAATTTGATTATTTTAATAATCAATTGAATGTATAACATTATAATATTATAATTAAAATAATATTTTGTTTGAACAATTTTTTAATAGTGATTTTGAGATATCAATCATAATCTTCATATTTCCTATTTTCAGAATAACTTATTGCCTTCGTTTTTATTTATAAGATTTAGAATAATAATTTTTTATTTAAAATAATTTAATTCATATTTTGTTATACATTAATTATTTTTATACTACAATATTTCTAATTTAAGTATGTTCTATTAATTTAATAAAATGTATTAATTATTAATCTTTAAAGAATATGTAATATAATTAGTTAGAAAATATATAAATATTAATTATCAACTATGATAACTATTTTTTTTATTTTAATAAAGTAGGTAATTGAATTTTATATATAAAAAAACAAAAATAAAAATTTCCAAGTAAAAAAAAGTCGATTATAAATTTAAGTTGTTAAAACATTTTGCTTATTCTGCAAACACCCTTTTTTTTACACAAAAACTACTGAAAATTCGAAACAAACCCACTCTAAATGAATCCTTCTTCCCAACATTGTTTTATCAATAAAACTCAAATTTGTAACTTTATACTATTCCATCAAACAATTCAATAATGTTAAAGATTATTTTCGATGTAAAAGTTAACTTATTTTAATAATTAATTATAAGTTTAATTGAGTTTTTATCTATCAAATATTATAATTGTGAAATTTTGATCTTAAATATTTAATTGAACAATTTTAAGTCTCTCAAGTATTTTATTTGTGTAATTTTGATTTCAAAATTTTAATTGAGTAATTTTAGTCTTCAAAATATTGCAATTAAATAATTTTAATCCCTCAAATATAAAAATTATGTAATTTTTGACATATTTAAGTTACATGTAATTTTTATTCATGTGTTACATAATATACTTATTATTATTAAAATTAATAATATATATAACTTAAATATGTCAAAATTTGTATAATTGTAATATTTTAGAGATTAAAATTATACAAATACAATTTTAAAAAATTAAAATTATTCAATTAAGATTTGAGAGACCAAAATTACAGAACTGTCGTCATACTTGAGAAATTAAAGTTACTGAATTAAAATTTGAAAGATTAAAATCGCATAAACGAAATACTAATTATATATTTTATTATTATAAAAATTAATTATAAAAAAAAGTAAATCTAATGAAATATTTTAAGGTAATTAATTTCATTTGAAAAAAATAAAATTAACTTTTTATATAAAAAATTACCAAAAAAAAATGAAGTTGTTGGATAAAGAATAGGAATAATAAAGAATTTTTTTTTTATTTTTTTTAGCTGAAGATAAAATAAAATACTATCAGTTCCCCGTACTAGTGCCACGTGCACCTTCATGGCTTGCAATAGAGGAAATTACAGGTGGAAGGTCCTATTGGCACATAAGATAACAATAAAATCGACTATTAACATTGTAATATAAATGTTTGTTTATTTATTTTTTAAATAAAAATAAAAAAAATATTTTTATAAATTATTATATGTATTATACTGAAAAGGGTTCGAAGCCGAAGTTAAAGATACATTCGGTGTGAAGGATGTAGTCGATAATTGACACTTTTATATTTATACATTTATAAATAAATATTATAAAGAGGATACATATTAATATACTTTTTAGTTTTTAGTTTTAATGGACCACTATATTTTTAAGAAGAAAAAAAAATCTTTTATATAATTGTTTGTGGTAATTTTTGTTTATAGGTCTTTTTTATTTGAACTAGTAATATTTTAATTTAGGCATATATAATGCGACAAGCTCTTACCATTTTTCATTGATGAATTATACATACAGCATACAGAGTTAATTATTTAGGGTACAATTATACTTGCTTAGCATACCAGAATCTCTAGGTGTTCATCAACATTTATCATACAATCAATTCCATGCATATGAACATTAATATAAATCGAATAAACAACACGTATATTGATTGCGAAAATTATATCCTTCATTCAACAATGACAGAATTACAATGCATAAGGATAATAATGAGTGATTAACAAACTACACTAAACTACACTAGACCTAAACTACAAAGAAAAAGAAAAGGTGGTCAAGAAATTGTACAGTCTTGTACACGAGAGTCATATGCATAGGCAAAGAGTGTTTGTGAGCTTTCGTGAGTACACTATTTTCGACCCTTTTCCATGAGCGCGACTCATGAATTTATAGAGATTTGAGGAATCATAATAACTGTATCTATCGTGCCACGAATGTATAACCGTTTTAAACTTCCATATCATGGGTCATTCATGCATGTCTTCTAATAACTTCCAGAATCGTTTATAACCCTCCCAAACCGTCTTGTAGTTTCTTTACTTTGACTTGTCTCTAGCTGTATCTCTTCTAACTCCTTCATTTTGAGAGATTGCGAAGCATGCTCATGAATGGTCGAGTTTCGAGACATTTTGAGTACTTTGTCTATTTCTAACCATGTCTCCTCTAACTCCTTCACTTCGAGAGGTTGCGAAGCTGCGAAGCATTTTCATGAGTGACAGAGTTTCAAGGATTTCGCGTGATTCGCGAAAGATGTATTTGAGTGTCTCCTGATTCTTCTTGTACTTCGCATGTTTCCAGAGTTTCTTTTTTACTATTTTTCGATCCTCCACAATTTCGAATGCCCCAAGTTTCGAGCATTCTGGAGTTATTACCTCGTTTTGTTCTAACAATAAATCATTAACAATCACTATAAAATTATATTTTCTTTAACTTTTTTTTTATAATTTTTTCAAGAATTAAGAAGTTCAAAGCATCTCTTTTTCTTACTAATAGTAATAATTAAGATAAGTTTGAGGAATTTTTAGAGACCTAAAACTAAACTTCACTAGTTAACATGATAATATGTTCAAATATGGTAAACATGCAAAGTCAGGTGTTAGAATCATTAAAAGTACCCAAACCCAATAAAAATAGTATAAATAATAACATTTGGTAAGATAAAATAATACTTTTAACCCACTTTTATTATATCATGATAGTCGAAGTCAAGTTTGAATGTTTTCCATATATACACTTTATCTCTTAAATAGGATAAGTATAGAGGACCTCTTGATCAAAGACATGAAATAAGGGTAAGACAAAAAAAATTATCATGATACTTTCATGCAAATACATGTATAAGATTAAAATTAGTAAAAGTTTTTTTACTAAATTGATTTATAAAAAAATACTATATTTAATTTTTGCATTATAAAAATTAAATTTTGGAATATATATATATATATATATATATAATATATATATATATATATATATATATATATATATAAACATTAAACATAATTTTTGCCTTATCGTTGTTTTTTTGAAGATATAATTTCTTTTTACTAAATTGGCCCTTGTACGTTCTTAAAGCATAACCTTATTTTTGTTTACTTTCGACTTTGTAATTTTAATTTCATTTCTTAATTTTATGTTTTATTTTCCTTCATTTATTGTTTTGAAAATGTTTAAGCTATTTGTATTCTATTATTTTCTGTAATTTATTATTTTGAATCATTTCAAAATTACAATATTATAAAATAATAATTTACAATTTTTCATATTTTTATTTACTATCAAGTAGTATGGTTTTAATAAAATATTAATTTTAAAAACCTTATACCTCAAATTTTATTTTAGAACTAAAAATATGTCTTGTCTAGATGAATTCTTCAAATAATATGGAAGCTAAATCGACATCAACCCATCAATTTTCCCTTTCCAAACTTAACATGCAAAAACGTCAAAATCTAGTTTCTAACTTAATACTAGTAGAGATAGTTTGCAAGAATCAAATTTTCAATCCTTGTAATACTAAAACTACAAAAAGTAATTAACGTTATTTTCTGAACTAGCAAGAGTAAGAAATTGGCAATAAACGACCACATAAGAAATTGATCATTCAAACAAAGTCACCATGACCATAGTCCTTCCTAAATTAAATTGATTGCATGAAAATGGCTTCTATTCAATCAAGGCGACGTAGTAAGTACTCTACTTGAACAATTTTTGTGAGGGGTATTAACCATTTCTGGTACAATAATGAAACTACTGTTGGATCAACCTTGTATTTTTTTCCCTTCACATCAAGATCAAGTGTCACTTCCTGCCCAAACACCCTTGCCTTCTTTTTAACCCTCTTTACAATCATCTCTTCAACGCTCTCAGATGTCAACAATTTCATCAATGCTTCTCTGTCCTGCAACATCCAAACATTTACACTTTCAACCTTTACATGTAGAATACCATACAATCAAAAACCTTGAAAATGATCATAGCATAGAAATTCAGAGGTGTTACCCACATAATCCACATTTGTCCACAATATTAAAAGGGTTATGCTAACAACTATATACATGTAGTTTTTATTAAGAATTGCATTGAAGAGAGAATGTCTGATTTTACCTTGTTAAAAGATGAAGAAATACTCAACTAGTTCTCAATTTATTAGCTAGCCACAACAATCGTTGAAAATGAAAACCTTACATAATATTTTATGTATATACCTTAGCATGAATTAAAGGTTCATAATCTTGAGGAGATTCTCTGAATTTGGCCTCAGCTACAAACTTTCCGTAATGAATCCTTCTAGAGATGGCCTGCAGATATTTTATGAAACAAAGTTACTTAGTCACAACCAACTTTAATTTAGGTCATTGTTGTAGTAAATTCTCTCATTAAGAATCTTATAGATACAAGTTGGAGTTTTTTTTTTTGAAAACTTCTATTAGAAAAAAAAAAACACAAAAAACTCTATTTATTTTTTATTTTTTTTAAAAATCACTTATAAACTTGTACACAATTAGACTTTTAGATAAAAAAAAAAGTATTAAACAAAATGAAATTTGAGACTGCTATGTCGAGTAATTGATTAGAAACATTATTCTGCCAAACTTCACTCATCAACATACAAAAGAACTTGCATAGGAAATTTACCTGCAGCAATGAAAGATCGGTAGCAGCTGTCTGTGCATAGTTTCCATCATCACCAGAAGCAACAAACATTGGAATCAGCTCATGAAAGTAGAGTTTCCAAATGTCCTTGTTTATGTTAATCAAAGCAGCTGCAGGATGCAAAAACTATAAACAACGTTTAAAGAGATCTTTTTAACACCAACTACATAGATGGCAAATCACGCAACAGTTTTGACAAATTACCTGTGAGAAGGGGTAATGCAGAACAACCAAGGGTGGTAAATTTTCTGGGAAGAAAGCATTCTCTTCAGGATTAATGTATCTTCCTGCCTGCAAAATATCATATCATCAATTCTAAACAAAAAGATGTTAAACCATAATAGCAAAAGCAATGTCCTAATATTAATAATGATTTTGTCAAGGTTTCAAAAAAGCATCCACAACCACAATTGCAGTATAATGCTAAGGTTTTTGAGATCTCATCATTGCGATCAGAGTTGTGTTCACATCAGCCTCATCCTAACTTGTTTGCAATTTTCCGTAGTATATGATGAAGCCACAACCATAATTTAAATTTTGATAGACCAGTTTCAAGCCTATAATGATGATGATGATACTTAAAAGATGACTACAAAGTACATGCCAGTTAACATGATTTCATTGTCATTTGATTCTATTTTAATTTTCTCTAAATAAAGTCCAAGTGAGTTCAGTCTCAGGAATTCATGAGCATCAGAACAGGTCTCAAGACTCATAAACTACTTATAAGATCCTCGCATTGAGGTGAAATTCAAACTCAACACATATCAACTTGAGATATGAGTCCGATACTTACCAACTGAATTAACTTTTGTTAGCTTTCAATCTCATATGATACACTATGGTGACAAAAGGCAAACAAAGTATACATAGAATGTGTTTGAGAAGTTGAGGGAAAAGTACCTTAGCTTGAATGGCCTCAGTATTGGAAACGAGGAAGTGGAGAACGGAGGTGTAATTTGGATTGTAGTTGTAGGTGGGTGAATTGAAGGGGAACCTGGCTCTCTCAATCAAACCAAATATGATGGTGTCTTCTTGTCTAACCAAAGACTCTCTCGCTGAATCTAACGTATACTCTGCTTTCGCCACTTCCCTACAACTTGCCAACAACATCAGAAGCAACACTAGGAATCGAACCATCATCATGTTTTTCTTTCAAAGGGAGAAGAAAAGAATCACATTGCCATTGTATTTGTATGTATGTGGGAAGTCAAGGTCAACAACACTAACCATTTGTTTGGCACTATTTGCTTTGTTCGGCACATAATAATAACATAATACTAGTAATGTCTTTATTTGTTTGGAATTCCCAAATGGGAAGAAATCGAAATATTAATTGCATGGAATGGAAAAGTCAAAATTGCTTTATGTCTTAATTTATAGGACACAGATAATGTAATAAATGGTTACGACTATTGGAATTGGATTAAAACTTAAATTAAACTTGGAGTTTTCCAAAAGACAAAATAAAAGAGAACTTAGTATTGTAAGAGATGTTACAATTACAATAACTAAGCATGTATTGTGGGGTCCCCACACAACACCAAACCCTCCTACCCTCCATTCGTTTCATGTTCCTTTTCAGTTTTCACGTGAATACGAAATGTTTCATTAATAGCCATAGGATAATACGATACTGAGCTGGGAAAGTCGGCAGAAACTGTTAATGTGTCGAATGAATGAATTAATTATTTTATAAAGTTTGCTTTCCCAAAAAGAATAACATAAGCGCAATGGTCATTTTAACTAGACCCCTCGGATACCATGATCACGAATTTATTATTTTAACGATTAAATTCAACTCATTTATTGTATTTTATGGTCATCCGGGTTGAGAGATTTTTTTCTCTTTTAATTTTATGAAAGCTGGATTTTATTCCTAAAGATAATCAGAATTATTTCTTTTTTATCAACGAAAATTGATTTATTTTGAAATACATTCTTTTGAATTTTGAATATATGCTAAAAATAAATAATAATTCACATTAACTAAGTTCAATAGAAAATTCTCCTAACCAATTAGAATGTATGTTTTTTAAAAGATTACAATTAATACATTATATCAAATTAAAGAGAATATATTTTAATTAGAGATATTTTAATTTAAAAATAATAAATATATGAGATAATATAAATTACGTTTTATATAAAAGAATAAATAATTATTTTAAATTGAATCTTATAAATAAAAATAATGTAATATTATTTAGAGTTTTGTTTTTCTCAATAACATTTTATTCATACATATTTAACTGAATTTTGTCTCTACTATAAGGTATTTTTTATATACAGTGGTCAGTGAGTGACACTTAAAAAATTTAATAAAATTAGTTGTTTATGATATAATACAAGTGTGAAAATACAAAGTCTCATAATTTTATATCGCTAAATCAAGAGGATAAATAAAAATTTATAAAATACACATTTTATTAATTTAAAACTTTATGAGTGATGATAAATTTTTTTTTATAAAAATTTAAATTCAAAATAGATAAATTATATTAATGTGAAAGTATAAGTGGACTCAAATTTTCAATGCATACTGTACCTATCTAAGGGCATACTCGTAATTTTCTGGTAACTGGAGGGTCGAATGAGAGCTTCAGGCAGATGTTTCAGAGGGGGGAGGTACGTGCAAAAAGCACTCCAACGCTCAAGTTAGGACAAGCACGATTCTCGAGAGTAATAAAATGAACAAATATACCTCGTTTTACGCGACCTATTTATACTACTTGTGATGGGCCTTGAACGTGGTGGGCCTCTTCTGACACCTACCAAATTAGGTAATACGGTGCTAATCCGCTGATTATGCTTTAATCATGTGTTTGTCCTGGTTAGTCATGATTATCATCTTTAACCACTTTGGCTTATCGACCGTTAGCCGAGCCGAGAGGTGTAAGTCCAGATTTGCCTCTAGGTCTCGGCCTTTTGTTGAGGCGAGGCGTTGTAAGACCAGGTTTGCCTCTAGGTCTCAGCCTTTTGTCGAGCCGAGGCGTGGCGTTGTAAGACCGGGTTTGCCTCTAGGTCTCGGCCTTTTGCCAAGCCGAGGCGTGGTTAGGGGGAATCAACAAGATGCGCTATCTTGACCAAGCCTTTGATGGTCTCGTAGGTTCGTTATCACGGCCACTGCATGAATGGCTTGACATTTGTCCGGGATTGCCTCAATACCTCAGCTCGACAGCATGAATCCCAGGAACTTGCTGCCTGAAACACCGAAAACACATTTGTCGGGGTTAAGTCTAATTTGGTGTCTTCGGAGTGCTTGGAAAACTTTGGCTAGATCGGCCACGTGAGAAAGTGTGTCGGCCAATTTAACAACCATATCGTCTACATAAATCTCCATGTTTTTGTCAATCTGTTCATGGAAGATTTTATCCATGAGTCGCTGATAGGTGGCTCCAGCGTTCTTCAATCTAAACGACATTACTTGATAACAATAGTTGGTTGATTCGGTGACAAATGTCGTCTTATCCTCGTCTCGGGGATGCATGCGGATCTGATTGTATCCGGAGTATGCATCGAGAAAGGTTAAGAAGTTATGGTCGGCTGCTCCGTCAACTAACCGGTCTATGTTCGGCAGAGGATAGGCATCCTTGGGACATGCCTTGTTCAAGTCTGTATAATCAGTGCACATCCGCCATTTGCCGTTTGATTTTTTGACCATGACAACATTGGTCAACCACGGAGTGTAATGCACCTCTCGGATGAAGCCCACGTCCAAAAGCTTGGAAACCTCCCCTTCTATTGCTTTCTTCCTTTCCTCTCCGATTTTTCTCTTTCTTTGGGCAACTAGTTTCGCCTCCCGGCATACGGAGAGTTTGTGGCATAGAAAATCGGGATCGATCCCTGGCATGTCAGCGGGCCGCCACGCGAAGAAATTTTTATTTCCCAATATGACTTGTCTGATTTCTCGCTTTTCTTGCTTGGACAAGTTGGAGCCAAGGTAGGTTATGTGGGAATCTGTCGGTCCAATGATAAGTGCTTGTCGATCTTCGATGGGTTCGACCCTCTCATCCTGCTCCATTCGAGGGTCGAAGTCCACAACTGGTGGGTCAAGCTCTTGTGCAATCGTGTGTACGCGCTTCACTCCGCGTGGTTCAGCTTCTTCGAGGTGTGGTAGTCGAAGGCTGGCAAAATAACATTCCTTAGCCGTTTTCTGATCAGCGTGAATCGTGATGATTCGGCCTAACTCCGACAGAAACTTCATTGCTAAGTGCTGAGTAGACATGATCGCGTCCAGTTTATTCAGAGAATGTCTCCCGAGAAGTATGTTGTAAGAAGTATTGGCATGCACCACCACGTACTTTACCGGAATGTCCGGTACTCGGCTCCGTCGAAACAAAACCTGGTAGATAATTTGATATACCCCTTGGTGTGTACCCGCTCGCCAAAGAATTTGACTAACGGTTCGTTGTATGGAACCAACTCGGCCTCCGGTATGTCAAGCTGTTTGAAAGTGTTCCAATAAAGGATTTCGGTCAAACTTCCTTGATCAACGAGTGTTTTCCAGACAATGCAGTTGTGAATTTCGATGCTGATTTCCATCGGATCATCCTGGTCCGGGTCGATGCCTTTAAAGTCAGCTTTAGTGAAGGTAATGGCTAGCATCCTGCGTTGGGCTTTCTCGACAGCATGTACGGTTCGGACAACTCTGAAGTGTCTCTTTTGAGCTGAGGAGGTGGAACCTCCTTCTGCGAATCCACCGGCAATGGTGTTTATGACCCTTCAGGGCTGGGTTACCTGTTCTTCTTCCTTTCGGCCCCTCGATCAGCTACGTTCCCTATAAGGATGCCTTTCGAATCTTTCCTTCTCCGGTCAATCATGGCGGCGTTGACGATCACCATACCGTGGGGAGGAAGGCCGATCTATGAAGTGTTGGAGTTGCCCTTGTTTGATCAAGTCTTCAATCTTGTCTTTCAAGGCTACATTCCTCAGTCGAGTGGCCTCGGTTGTGGTGGTACTTATAGGATTTCGTTGTGTCGGCGTGTGGAGGGGTTGAGGCTCGCTTTGGTACTGCCAAAACTTTTGACGCAAGCGCCTGATCTAGGACGGCCGATCGACTGGTATTCAATGGTGTGAAGTGCGAGTACCTCGGGCCGCGAGAGGGTTTTTCGCGAGGGACAAGGTCCTTCAGTCAGTTCTGGTATGAGCTTTCGACCGACTTTTCAGTTTTCACAGTCACCTCGGCCCTGGCCTAGTTACGGAACTCAGCAAGTTCCTCCATTTGCATATACTTGTCGGCACGTCGTCGCAAGTCATCCATATGGGTCGGCGGTTTCTTGCAAATGCTATTAGCAAAGGGTCCCGGCTTCAACGCTGTGGTGAGGTGATGAAGTGCCACCGCCGGGTTCAGGTCTCAAATTTCCAATGTCGCTTTGTTGAATCGGCTCATGAAAGTCCGTAGAGATTCCTTCTTCTCTTGCCGAATGCTAACTAATGCCTGGGAGGTCAACTGATGGGGCCGATTAGGCGAATTGAATGGTAAATTGGGAGGCCAACGTATTAAAGAGTCAATCGAGTTGGCCGGGAGTCGAGTAAACCAGCTTAACACTCGCCCCTTGAAAGATGTAGGGAAAATTCAGCATAAGGTTGCGTCATCAGATGTGCTGAGGGTGACTTGAATGAGAAAAATGTCAACATGCTCATCGGGATTGGTCGTTCCGTCGTATTTGTCCAACGGGAGGGACTTCTAGTGGTCGAGGAGAGAAACCTGCATGATATTTGAAGTAAATGGGTGTCGGTGGGCTCCGACTGGAGGATGAGAATATCGGCCGGTTGTCTGGACGGCCGAAGCATGATTACCCGGGGCGACAACAGAGGTATGAGGGATGCAGGTGTGACGTCCGAGCGAGTGGAATGACCCCTCAGTGTGCTTTCAGGTCGACTGGGAGGTTTTCCATGTGGGGTCTTGATTCCTCAGGGCAGCGTTTTCGTCCATCAAGGCAGCCATTTCCTGCGCATCTTTTTCTCTCTGCTGCCTCATGACCGCTATCTCCTCATTTAACTGTCGCACCATCTCCGAGAGGTTCGTCTCGTCCACCACCTCGACGTGGTCCTCCTCTTCGGATTGGTGATCTTCAGTGTTTGTCTTCCTTGTCTTTGCCATAGTGCTTGCGCTCAGTTTGTCTTCTCAAAGCTTTCGGTTCGGCCCCACGGTGGGCACCAAAATGTACCTGTCTAAAGGCACACTCGTAATCTTCTGGTAAATGGAGGGCTAAACGAGAGCTCCGGAC